TTCAGAAAATATGGGCTGTGATTTGGGTTGATGCTATTTTTCTGCTCTTATAAGTCTCTCTAGCTGATGTGGATATACTTTATAGCGATTCCCTCTCCTGCAACGTCGCAGTCAACTGTTTAATGTTTATGCCTGAAATTTCCAACCGGATGGTTTTTGTAAATGGTAAGCACCCCAGATTTACCAGATTACCCGCATGGTCAGTAGCGAAGAAGATATCCGATTTTGAAATTCAACTTATTTTAAATTATAAAAGTATCTTTTGTATTGTATTGGTTTTACTTTCAAGTCTGATTATGCATATTTTATCCACTTTAACTTCTAGGTTAATTAGGTATTAGGTAGTACGCACGAACCCTCAAGCATGTAATGCTTTTAATCTAATCGTGTTTAATTAAAGGATCTTACTTCCTTCCTTCCTTCCCTCCTGCCTTCCTCCCTTCTAGCGCTTATATTTTGATGGGTTGTTTTTATGCTAGCTACCAGCATATACCACAATAATATTATCGAATAAATCATGTCTAAAGTTACTAATGCTTTGTTCATTTTTTTTTTTTTTTCGAAAAAGCGCGTGCATTACCTATGAAAAACTTTCTTAGCTTTCTTTAAAGTGCTTGTTATGAGCACAGTGATTCTCACCAATAAAGCATTCCGAGTGAGACTATCGGTCGCTTGATCAGCTGCCAAATTTAAGTGGATTTGCAACTTAGTTAATTTTGTTCGTTTTGTTCATTTCGTAAAAACGCAGACGAGATATACATCTGAGACGTACAATACATCTGGGTCGCTTTCGCGTTAGCTTTGATCCGTCTCACTTTCCGTGTCTACCTACACGCATAATGCGTCTAAGGAAGATCTCGTCTGAGACGTATTATTTGTCTGCCTTGGTAAATAGGGTCACTTCCGCTAAACAGTTGACAGATGAGGTGATTCTTGCTGACGTCATTGTTTACATTTTGACTCGTTAGCATGCAGCATGGCGTACAGAAGGCAAAATGTTGGATATGAGTTAACTCCAAACAGTAAGAGAGCTATTAAGAGAAATTTTAGCATTCTAGGTGTGGGTAGCAAAAGTGGGAGCTAATACATTCTTTGTAAAGTTTTAAGTTTTTAAACCCGAATCACACAAAAACTGTCCAATACATCGGGCCCAAATTCATTGGCAGAGTTAATCGTGCTATGGCTTTCAATATTCAGAACTGATTTGTTTGTAGCTCCACATGACTCCGAATCACTTATATGGTAATGAGGGAAATATTGTAGACAAGGATTCCCCTACTGGTGACAATATATACTTATTAATTATTCAGTTTAAGCTTGACCCTTGACCCTTGACAACACGCTTCCCTAATACCCTATGTATTGCGACTTCCTGATTTTGGTATTTTCAGACGCTACACTGTGGCAGGAAGATAAAATGCAATTGTTTCTTTACTTTGTATGAAGATTTCCAGCTAATATTAGAATCATCATTAATGAATCGCTATGTATGTTTGAATTCATAAAGCCTTGCTTGACGTCAACATTATCTTTTACCACAATTGCTACTAGTCTCGCAATCTGATTGGCTAATTTGTCGTTGTCGACAAGAGTCTAGACACCCCTGCTCGTCAATGTGTCACGCAATGCCTTTTTCAGCTCGCGCTCTGAAGGAAAAACATTCTTTGACGTTGATATTGTGGTAAAAATAAAACAAATCGAAAAATCAAAAGAAAAAAATAAAAATAAAATTTAAAAAAAATTTAAAAAAAATTGTAAAAAACAAATCGAAATGTGGTTTAGCGTGGTCTGTACTCTTATGGACAACGATACGCGTCATCGCAGTGGTCAAAATTTGTTGTGGACTCACGAGGCGCAGTCGAGTGAGTCCACAACATTTTGACCACTGTGAGGACGCGTAGCGTTGTCGATAAGAGTACAGACCACGCTAAACCACATTCGATTTGTTAACTATACCCGATAACTTAGTCTAAACGTAGGGCAAAGTATAAGTAGACGATTTAAAACTCGAAAGTCGTTATTTTTTCCCCTCCACTCTCTTATATTGCTAATTGCATTTTTTTTTTTTTTTTTTTCTGGTTCACTTGATATGACTTTTAGGCTCCCTGGAGTNTATAGAAACCCTGCTACAATGGACAGACAATTAAATCCCAGATTAAAGATTTCGGATTAGATTTCTGCTTTTTTTTTTTTTTTTTTTTTTGGTTCACTTGATATGACTTTTAGGCTCCCTGGAGTCTTGAACTTGAAGGACTGTAGCTCACTTGGTAGAAAAAAAATAAACTTTTCATCAACTACGTTTTAATAAGTCTAGTCATACACGGAACATAACGTCCCAATGAGGTTAACTTTATTTGTAGAGAAGAATCTACTAAGTGAGAGTATTAATTAAATACATTTAAATAACAAACAAACCCAACGAAAGTTCTAGCACCGTCGGTCAGTATTTGTAACGCGGAAGTAATCACACAAAATAAATAAGCCCAATAAATAAAGAAAAACTTACGCTTCGATGCACATTCAAGTTTAAACAGGCACTGCTGCATTTGCGGCACATAGATGTATTATCGGCAGCTCTTTTGGCGACATTTTTCTTCTTTTGCGGCCCACTTAGAGGTGAATGCGTAGATGTTGGTTCAACAATCACGCCATCGGCAAGCCGAGATGGACTATTTGTAGCTAGCAAATCCTGTTCAACTGCTGTTAGACGCGAATCAAATCGATTCAAAGAATAACACGTGAAACCAAGTGAAGCCAACGTCAGCATTAAGTTGAACGACAAGCCAAAGAGGACAACAGACGATCCCTTTGCGCTCCTGGTCTCCATGTTCGCTGATTTCCTTGTACAAGAAGATTGAACGACTGACCGATGCTTTAGCTTACTTATATCGCTGAGAATACTCAAAGGAATGTTGACTTTGCCTGAATATCGGTTAGTTTCAGTTGGCATTTCCCCTCTATTGTGGCACTGACAACCAACGCTTTGGGAAGTGATGCAATCAGAGATGGACTAATCTGATACCATAATTATTAGTTTGTTCAGCTTCCGTTGAAAATAAACCAAGAGAAGCTTTTACGGTGTTTTGTTTTGCACGTACAGTTTCATTCAGTTGTAAATCAACAAGTGAAGTCGTGTTGCTCACGACCAGTACTAACTGACTGTTTTAATTCGTTTTCACTGCTGTAGGTTAAAGAGGCAAACGATGTTCACAGAGCAACAAGTTCCAGGTAACCGTTAAACAGACATTTGTTACTGATGACACTTCCTTGTTAGCTAACTTGACACAATAATAAACGACGTGCTTTATATAGTACCAAGTTCCCTTTTAACATACTTCCTGATGTTGCTGTTTTGCGACGCTATCGAATAGCAGAAAGAGAAAATGTTATTCTTGTTTTCTTTCATTTCTATGGAGAGGTTCAGATCATGAAAGCTGAAGTATTAGAAACTTTGCTTTTAATAACATTTTCTGCTGAATACGTGCAGGTGTTAAGGTAACAGAATTTTGTTCACGTGAACAGGAACTGGAACAAAGTTCAA